TACCCTTTCATCTTATCATATCTAAACTATTCCCTTTTTTCTTTATAAAGAGATTGTATTTATAATCAATCTGTTTTAAATAAAAATATTGGTTTTTCTCTGTCCCACACCAGAGGGCTCTTCTGATTTGGGACACAAGAATCTCTTAACCTTTTTATTTTAGGAATATGTCTGGGTTTAGAGAGGGAGTGAGTCCATTCCATCTCTAAAGTCAGCTTGGTATATCTGGGAATTTGGGCATAGATTCTCTTACTACTTCCTGCTGGAGGGGGTGCTGTATCTTATGGGGACACAAAGAAAATTTTAGGATTATGTAGTAGTTCATGAGGGTGTATCATCTGAGCCAGTTGCCTGAAACCGTTTTGGATGTTGTATCATCTGGGCCATGGTGTCATTGGAGACCTTTCAGGGGGTCTTGGCTGGTCAAACCTGATGTATCTTAATCTGGAACAAATCCATAGCCTCTGACTTTCTGTGGAAACAAAAGCAGAGACTCTTTTCCAAAGCAACATATCCTTATATCAAAATTTTGAAGTCAAGGTACCTTTAAGATTTATATTTTTGGCATAACTCAACAGCTTTTACAATCAAATGTTTTTCTTCAGTTACAAACATCAAAGACAACATAATCCAGATTTTTTTGTGTGATAGCCATCTTTACATGGCTTATTACCTTTAATGTTTGTTTAAAGACTTTATTTTTAAAAACTATGTATCTGTTTATATAACTGTATATATTTCTTTTTTTTTCTCTCTTTTAAGCCTACGTACATTTTACACACATTGGAAACTATTTCATCTGAATCAGTCTTATTGTGAAGCTACTGCTTTAAACTGCAGCCTTCTAAGACTGAAATGGCACTGTGGCTGCTGGCTCTGCCCACTTCAGCTTCCCATCATGGTAGTGGTACATTTTCTGCCGGCTTTGGGAGTCATCAAGTCTCAGAAATAGTGGGTCTATGCTTTTATCAAAGTAGTGTGTAGCCCAGAAACCTCTTTTTTTTTTTTTAATACTAGTAAAGACTAAATCTACTGCATAGCGTAATGTGTTGCTGGACACATGCATGCCAGGAACCCGCCAGTAGTTCAAACCCGCGTTTTGCGGTGTCTAGCTGCCAGTATGAGACATGAAGCAGGAACCTGGTTTTGACTCTGTCCAGAATTGGTTATTAAATATTCTCAGGTTTAAGGTGGAAACTCAAGCCGTTGGGTGCCATTTGTTGCTGGAGAATTTCTCTCCAGCTCCCGCCGCCAAGTCCTGCCAGTCCCGGAGCCCACTTATAAAATAAACACACAGACTCTTACATTATTTAAACTGTTTGGCCATTAGCTCAGGTCTATCATTGTCTATCTCTTACTCTTATATTTAGCCCATTTCTATTAATCTTTACTTTGCCACGTGGCTCATGACTTACTGGTACTTTACATCTTCCTTGCCCTGGTGGCAGCTCAAGGCGGTCTCCTCTTTCCTTCCCCCTTCTTCAATTCTCCTCTCCCCTTGTCCCACCTATACTTCCTGCTTGGACACTGGCCAATCAATGCTTTATTTATATAGAGTGATATCCACAGTATCTTTGAATATGGTGAAAGACAATGAACTTAGTGATAAAATTGACTGGCTCCAGATGTGCTTAAACAATCTAAAGGTTTCATTTCTAAGTGTGCCCTTGGGAGAAGATCTTCTCTCCAGCAACCCCAGAGCTCAAGTTGAAAAAAAAAAATCCTCGTTATAAATTTGGCTGAATTACAAGAAAAATTCAAGTCCCAGGCTTGGAGGGTCTTGGAGGTTAAAGTAAGGTCATAATTGATAAAGAATGGGATTCTGTGACTTGGGATGGGGATGTGTGGGAAGACTCCATTAAAGCTGAGAATTTTGGACTCTCAGGTTCTCAAGGGCTTATCTCACTTGAGGAAATAGTCTTTCCATCCTCAGCAGTCTTTTCACCCTTACACTCTCGCCACCATTCATATTGTCCTTTTCACCTTTAATTAATCCTTCATTGTCTGCCAACCCAGCAGTGACCACTGAAGTAGATTTCAGGCAAGACAATACTGATATATCTTAGGACCCACCAATAGTTGCCTCTTGGATCTAGAGAGATGGCTCTGAGGTTAAGAGCACTGACTGCTCTTCCAGAGGTCCTGAGTTCAATTCGCAGCAACTACAAGTTGGCTCATAACCATCTATAATGAGATCTAGTGCCCTCTTCTGGCTTGCAGGCATATATGCAGGTAGAACATAGTATAAATAATAAATAAATAAATCTTTAAAAATAATAACTGCCTCTTGGCCCATAACCAGATTTAAGGCATAGCCGTCTCAGAGAGGAGAGTTAGAAAATATAGACCATGAGAAGATGTATTATACTACTAAAAAGCTCAATGGGTTTTCTAATTCATTCAAATAGAAGTCTGGTTAATATGTGTGGGAATGGATTTTAAGAGTGTCAGATAATGGGGGAAGAGCATAAAACTAGATCATGCTGTGTTTATTGATATGAGCCATCTGAATGGGGACTATAGGTTTAATATGGATTCTCACACATTTAAAAAGTTGTTAAAGTTCTTTTTTGTTTTTGTTTTTTGTTTTTTAAAATATGATTGGCTGAAGCATTCCTCAAAAGATAGCCTACTAAAAAAGGGTTGGAGATTCCTGAAATCCCTTGGTTTAGTATTGATGAAGGGATTTTAAGGCTCAAGGAAATTGCAATGCTTTAGTGTGTACACTGTGTAAAAAAGCAAATCCTCCACAATGGGAAGGCCTAGAAGACAAGTCTCTTACTAATCCCGTAAGGCACAAAATGGTGAGAAGAGTGCCAGCACATTTGAAGAGTTTTGTTGGTGCTCTTTTCCTTGTGCCAGACCTTAGTGTTGGAGATATTGCTTCTCAGCTGGATGAATTAAATGCAATGGGTTTAATTGTGTCCTGAGCTATAACAGGAGCCAGCTGGCAATACTGAATTGCCAAAGAGAAGATAAGCATGCTATTGTAATAGGCAGCAGAAACATACCAATGTTCATAATGACCTAACCTCTAGCAGTCAGCACAGATGAAATAAATTTTATGGTGTCATTACTCATGTCAGTCTTTGGTACTAGCTAACAAGTCAATCATAGTGTTTCCAGGCATGAAATAAATTAAAAAAAAAAAAACTTACTGAATTTTCATTTGATCTGTATAAGTGGAAAAAAAAAAGTCAAACAAATGAAAGAATGGCTACATTGGATCATTCCCAAAGGGAATCTCAGGTCTTGAATCAATTTCCACACTTGAGCCAGTTAGCAGACCCAGAACTTCTTGAATGAAGTAGTGGCCAGATTCTCCAGAGGAAGGACCTTGATATAATACCTAAAAGCTTACTGTTAGCCTTTCTCCAGTCCAACCCTAGAGGGACCTATGACCTTTTACAAAAGTAACTAACTATACATGAGGAGAAAGGAAACAAGAAACAAGGGAGGTTCCAAGAAACACTGTGGCCATCCCTTAAAACTAGGGTTTTATGGAGGTCAGTTGATTAATAAGTTTGGGCTGAAGTCTGACACACAGAAGGTGTAGTGAGTCCCTGAACTCATCCTGTGGTTATTTTCCTAATCCCAGACAGAGTGTATAATTGGCATAGATATACTTAGATTTTCAGATTGGTTCCCTGACTTGTGGAGTGATGGCCACTATAGTTGGTCAGTCTAAATGGAAGTCTTTAGAATTACTTCTGCTAAGGAAAATGGTGACTCAAAACAGTATCACAGTCAAGGAAGAATTGCAGAAAATAGGTCCACTATCAAGAACTTGAAAGATGCAGAGGTGGTTGGTTTCTATCTTTAACTCTCCTATCTGTCCAGTACAGACATAAAGATTGAGAATGACAGTTAACTATCAAAAACTCAATCAGATAGTGACTCTGATTGCAGCTGCTGTACCAGATGTGGTGTCCCAACTTGAGCAGATTAACACATCTCCATGGTATGTAGATATTGACCTAGCAAATGCCTTTTTCTCAGTATCTGCCCATAAGGACCACAGAATCAATTTGCTTTCAGTTGGCAAGGCCAACAGTATGATGTAGTGGGTAGCCATTCCAGCTTGGATCTGGAAGTTCCAACCCCCATTGAGACTCTGGCAACTGTCACACCTACGAGGCGGGGCCAAGGGAGGCGTCTGGAGACCCGAGACCTGGATGGGCGAGCACTCTCTCTGTTGCTGGACCCTAGATGGTGGAGGTTGACTGAGCAGAGCTCCAGAGAACACCGCTGGACTGCGATACACTTTCCCCAGACCCCCGCGATCTACCTATCCCTTCATTTGTAAGTCACTCACTAAATAAATCTTCCTTTTAACTACGTGGAGTGGCCTTAATAATTTCACCAATATCTGGCACCCAACGAAAGTTGCTTGCATCCATCTACCATTTCTCAGGTACCATTAAGTTCCTTCTCAGGTCTTTGATGTGGTTAAAGACTAGATAGTTGTAATTTCCTCAGTTATGATAAAAGAAAAGTTAGATATAAAACCTTAAACTCACAAATATAAGATAGATAGGACATCTTCTTTAATATTGTAACTGTAATTCTTGCTCGATAATTGTTTTGTTATATGTAATTTTAACATGTTAAAGTTAAAACCTTCCTTTTTTAAAAAAAAAGAAGAAAAGGGGAAGTGCTGTGGATATTGCTCTATATAAATAAAACACTGATGGCCAGTGACCAGACAGGAAGTATAGGTGGGACAAGGAGAGAGGAGAATTGGGAAAACAGGAAGAAGGAGGGAGAGACACTGCAGCCACCGCCAGAACAAGCAGCATGTAAAGAAGCCGGTAAGCCACCAGCCATGTGGCAAGGTATAGATTTATAGAAATGGGTTAATTTAAGATATAAGAACAGTTAGCAAGAAGCATGCCACGGCCATACAGTTTATAAGTAATATAAGTGTCTGAGTGATTATTTTATACGTGGATTGTGGGACTGTGGGGTTTGGTGGAACCTGGAGAGAAGCTCTCCAGCAACAGTATACCTTTATAGATTTACCTTAATAATATATTAACTCTCCATATCTGTGTCATAACTTAGAAGGTATCTTGATCATTTGTCTCTTACATAAAATATTACATTAGTGTTTTTTATTTATGAAATTATGCAGGTTACATCAAGTGAGTAGAAGGTAGCAACAACTTTTAATGAATTGTTAAAGCATGCATACATCAGAGGATGGGAAATTAATCCAACCAAAATTGAAGCTCCTTCTACCTGAGTGAAATTCTAACAAGTCCAGTGGTATGGGGAATGCAGAGATATTCTTTCTGAGGTGAAGGAAAAATTATCCCACCTGGTCTCTCTCACTACCAAGAAAGAAGCACATTGTTTATTGGGCCTATTTGGATTGTGAAGACAGCACAATCCTCACTTGGGTGTGTATTCCCACTCATGCTAAGTGACTAATTAGTTAGCATTGTGTGGGGTCTGGAGCAGGAGAATGCTTTCCATCTAGTCCAGGTTACTGGGAAGGCTGCTCTACCTTTTGCTGCATCTGATCAAATATATCTAATGGTATTTGAAGGGACAGTGGAGATAGGGATGTTGTTTGGAGCCTTTGGCTGGCCCCTTTAGGTGAATCACAGAAAAGACCTTTGGAATTTTGGAGCTTGGCTCTAACATTATCTGCAGATAACTGTTCTTTCTTTGAAAGACAATTCTTGCCATGCTCTTGGGCCTTAGTGGAAACTGAACAAAGGGCCACCAAGTTACCATGAAATTTGGGTTGCCCATCATAAGCTCCATATTATCTGACCCACAAAGTCATAAAGTAGGACATGCGCAGCAGCAATCTATTATCAAATAGAAGTAATTGGGTCCAAGCAGGTCTTGAAGGTGCAAACAAGTTATATGAAGAAAGTGAGCTATGGGGATATTTTATTTGTGCTGAAATGTGATTTTATTTGTATGTTAATAATAAAGTTTGCCTGAAGATCAGAGGTCATAGCAAGCCAGAAACAACAGTCAGTCAGGTGGTGGTAGCCCACACCCTTAATCCGATCACATGGCAGGCAGAGTCTCTGTGTGTTCAAGGACACAGCCAAGCGTGGTGAGACAAGCCTTTAATCCCAATACCAACCATAGAGACCTGGAGGTCTGTATAGACAGGCAGTGATGAGGAAGTCATGTGGTTGGGTTTAGAGCCAATGAGCAGGCAGAACAGAAAGACAATAAAAAGACAAGTCAGACAGGAAGAAACTCTCTCTGAGGAAGCAACAGCAGCGAGGTGGTAAGATAAGGTAGTTGTGACTCTCTTATCTCTTTGGTTATTTACCTCTGTATTTGGCTCTGTTTTCCTTTTTTACTAAGACTATTTAGAATTTCATCTACAGTAAGCAAATGCCTATGATTTATATCCCCATTACAATGCTGTCTGCTCCTAAATATGCAACTATATCCCTATGATCAGTTGACTGAGGAAGAGAAGATTAGGGCCTGCTTTATTGATTGTTCTTTTTATGAAAGGGCCATCAGGAAGTAGACAGTTATGGCATTACAACTCCTTCCTGGGACAATCCTGAGAGACACCAATAAAGGGAAATCTTCACAATAGGCAAAACTTGGTGCAGTACACATGCACACAGTATATTTTGTCTTGATTGAGAAATTTCAAGATGTGTGATTGTTCACTGATTTTTTGGCTCTAGGTAATGGATTGGCTATATGGTCAGGGATTTGGAAAGAGTATGAATGAAAAATTGGTGAGAAAGACACACGGGGAAGAAGTATGTGGATTGATCTCTCCAAATGAGTGAAGGATGTTAAAATACGTGTCCTATGTAAATGTCCATCAAAGGTTGACTTCAGCAGCAGGGGTGTTCAATAATCAAATAAATAGGATGACCTGTGAACAGCCAGACTCATATTCCAGCCATCCTTGTTATTGCCCAATGGAACAATTGTAAGTATTCTGTATATGTGCAGCTTGGGGGTCTTGTCTGGCACCTTATTACATCATCAGTGGGCAACTGTGGCCCAGCCTAAGAGCTGGACTGCACCCCACCCTCTCTCTCTGTGCCTCTCTCTCTGCATCCTGCTCTCTCAGTCTCTATCTCTTTCTGTGTCTCTCAGACTCTCTCTGTCTCTCCTCTCTGTCTCTTTGTCTCTGTCTCTCTATCTCTCTCTTTCTCCTCCTAATAAAGCTCTAAGGGTACCACTGTGTTCTGTCCTGACTGTAACCTTTCCGCTGCTGACCAAACCAGAGCTGCCTCAGTATCCAGCACCAGCCACCAGCGCCTATATCCTTTAAACAACGAACAAAGTGGTCATAGTGAGAGTGTCAATGTCTTATACAAGCTCAACAACATGAACTTACACTTACCAAGGTTGATGTGGCCACAGATGCTACTAAGTCCTAGAACTACCAATAGCACCATATATGGCACCGTTCCTGGGGGTGACCAGCCAGCAACCTAGTGACAGGTTAGCTTCCTTGCACAACTTCCTCTGTGGAAAGGACAGCACTTTGTCCGTACTGGAGTAGATATTTATTTTGGTTATAGATTTGCTTTTCCTGCATATAATGCTTCTACCAAAATGACCATCGATGAAATTGCAAAATGGCTTATCCATCATCATGGTATTTTGCAAAGGATTGCTTCTGACAATCAAGAGAGGTGAGACAATGGGCTTATGATCATGAAATCCACTGGTCTTACCATGTTCCCCATCATCTTGAAGTAGGTGGCCTGATAAAAAGATGGAGAGGCCTTTTCTAGACACAGTTAACACACCAATTCAATGGTAGTAGCATAGACGGGACTAGGGTCAGTTTCTCCACAAGGTAGTATATGCTTTGAGTCAGCATCCAATATATAGTACTGTTTCTCCAATAGCCAGACTCAATAGATCCAGGACCAATGGGTAGAAAAGGATGTAGTTCCACTCACTATCATGCCCAGTAACCCACTAGGAAAAATTCTGTGCTCTTTCTAATGACCTCAAGTTCTGCTGGCCTAGAAGTTTTGGTTCTGGACTGGGAAGTGCTGTGGCCAGGAGCCACAACAAACCTTTCATTGAACTGGAAATTCAGACTTTCCTCTGGCCACTTTAGGCTTCTAATGCCCTTAAAACAATGAGCTATAAAGGGAATAACAGGATTCAGAGTGGTGATTGATACAGATTATCATTGGGAAACTGGATTGTTTCTCTACAGTGAAAGTAGGAAAGGTTATGTGTGAAAGAGATCCTTTAGGGCAATACTAGGCACTACCATTTCCTGTTATTAAAGCCAATTAGAAACTGCCACAGCCTAATCCAGGCAGGGTGACCAAGGGTACAGACCCTTCAGGAATGAAGGTATGGGTTACTGCTTCAGGGAGAGCCAAAACCTGCTGATGTTCTTGTGGAAAGTGGAGGAAACACAGAATGGGTAGTAGAGGAAGGTCGTTATTAATACCAACTAAAGACATATGACCAGTTGCAGAAATGAGGATTATAGTTGACAGGAATGTTTCTGTTATATTTTGTAAGAATTAATTTGTACAGATATTTGGATTTTCTTTCATTTTTTTAACATTCAGTGTAACACCAATTAAGAGGATATCAATGGCTACAGTATTAAATTTGAGAAACTAAAAGAATGTCCTTCAAGGGATATTGCCACCTATTCTCGATTTGAAACATATTTGGGGTTGTATGAGGGATAGTAATATCATGTTTGATGTAATTATTACCTGGATAAATATAAATGGTGTTTGTGATTTTATGTGGGATAGTTATGTTTATGTATTATTATGTTCTGGTTATTGTTTTCATTTGGAATTAAGTGTGGCATATGGAGACATGATTATGTGCCATGTTGAGAAGGGGCAGATTTGCCATGGATATTCCTGGTTGTCAAATTGACTACATCTAGAATTAACTAAAATCCAAAAATGGTTGTCACTCCATTGAGAAATTTTTGCTTAATTTAAAGTAGGAAGATCCACTTCTAATCTGGATTTTGAGTTGAGAAGACATACTTTTAATATGGGCTATACTTTCTGCTGGAAACTTGTATAAGGACATGGAAAATTTAAGCTTTTGCTTTACCTGCTTATCCTTACCTTGCTAGCAACTCCATTCCTTCATAGGCCTTAGTACATACTTCTTTGGGATTGCAGCATATACTGAAGACCAGCTAACATGTCCAGCTTCATGAGATGAGCAACTTCTGGATTCTTGGACTTTCCATTCACAGCCAATAATTATTGGATTAGCTGGATTGTAGCCAG